CTTTAATTAAAAGCCTTCCTTTTAAGAACCTGATTGATTTTTCCTTGTTTTTAGATCCAAGGGGGTTGGAGCTTGATCCACCAGGAGTTGATGGGAGAAAGGAGGGGGAATGGTTAATTTCTCCTTGTTTTAAGATCCCAGGGGTTTGGATCTGTACTCACCAGGGAATTGGTGAAGAGTCTCTCAAGGCTACCCAGGGAAGGGAATTAGCACATTGGGAGTGGTGGCAGCGCACCAGATCTAAACTGGTAGGTAAGCTTAGAAGTTTTCATGCAGGCCCCCACATCTGTACCCTAAAGTTCAGAGTGGGGAAGGAGCCTTGACAACCATATTGCAGTATGTTAGAGGAACTGGAATTCTTTGCTTCATGTAGATTAGAGGGAGGATTTTTTCCCCATTAGTCTTTGCACCTGGTATTTGTTTTTTATGGAAACAACATTAATTATGAACCTTTATTTTTTAAAGGCAACACTGATTTTGAAAAAGTAGAATTTTTTATACATGTAATAAGTGTTTACCAAAAAAGTCACAACAGAAAGGTCAACTGGGATGTTAATAGTCATTATTCCTGTTCTTCAAAGCCTTATTTGAATTAATAAAACTTAAGTTGGTGTTTATTATTTTTAAATATTGCACTGCAGCATTTCTAACACTCAGGGCCTCATTTTCGGCAGCCCTCTATCTTGTTCAGGAGCGAAATTGCTCAAATAGCTATTTCTACCTGCTAAAATCTCATTTCACATTATTAGTATTATTTATTTATTTATTTTATTATAGCACTATCAACGTACTAGTGCTTTACAGAAATAAGATACCTTTCTCTGGACAGAGGAACTAATAATTTCAGGCCTGTTCCTGCAACACTTCCTCACAAGAGCAATCTTTAGTCTGCTGAGAAATTCCACTGCAGTAATTGTAGTAACAGGGTGAATCACATGCATAGGGGTTATGGGATCAGTGCCCAAATTAGCCAAATTCAGCCATATGAACTGGCCAGAAAAATATTTATTTCCTGTGGATAATTTCTACAAAAATGGAAACAAAGTCATGCTTAACTTTTTGACGAAAAACAGAAAATGGAAATAGTTATAGTCCAAAATGCTATTGTGGTGCCTGATGGGAGTTGTAGTTTGCGTGCCTCACGTTCTCATTCTCCTTTATAGCATGGGATCCCTTATTGGACAACATTTCCCAGGACAGATCATGGCCTCACCTCTTGGTGAGTGGAGGTGATGTATCATGGTAGTCCCTGTAGTGCTACATGGGAGATGAAGTCCAGCTGGGGAGTGTGACCTGTAGGGGAGAATGGGGATGTGAGGCAGGTGAACAATAACTCTCATGAGGCACTGCAACAGTATATCCAAATTGATATATTTCATTTTTTGACCAAAATGCAGAAACTTTTGTTTTGAGGGGATTGGAGAGGTAGGGTTTACTGAAAAATGAAAAATTTCTGCAAAAGCCATCAGTTTTTGTTGAAAACCCAATTTTGTATTGCATACACTGCTTGTTCTGATATATACAGTAGAGTGTGTGTGTGGCACGGGGGGGCGGGGGAGAGAGAGAGAGAGAGAGAGAGAGAGAGAGAGAGACGAGTAGTTTA